AGATTTCTCTGTTATTACCAGAAATTCAGCAGGCCCAAAACATCATCTTGTTTCCTTTGCAGAATGGCTTCTTGGTCTCACAGTCTTATTTCTGGCAACAACCCCACCATCCTTCATAGGCCAGGAGCTCTCAGTGAACTTTTTCCTTCTTTCCGCTGCATCATCTTCTATATCCAGTCAGTCACCAAGTCCTACTGATTCTTCCTCCAATGTTTCACATCTCCATCCCTTCCTTTCCATTCCCTTTGTCTCCAGCCTTGCCTAGGCCCCATTACTTCATGCCTGGACCACTACAAATCAATAACTTCCTAATTGGTCTTACTGCCTCCTGCCTATTCCGGCTCTAGTCAGTCCTCTGTAGGGTTGCCAGGATAATCCTTCTCAAATATCACTTTTATAGGGTTGGATGAAATCACTGAAAATGATCACAAGGAGGGAGGAGAGAGTGTGCAAGGCTCTCTGCCTAAGATGGCACAAATTGGGATCTGTGTTCGGGCCCAGTAAGCACTGCCCAGAGCACCTGGACTCTAATGTGATTGTTTTGTTTTCACCATTCGGGGCTTTGCACATAGTAGGGGCTCAATCCATTAGATTAGACTGAGTGGTTAACAATGGGGTTATGATTGATTATAGTCAAACAGAGGTTTGAATCAGCTCGGTTGGTGCTGAGCCACTTAGGCTGGGGGTGGGTGGGTGGGGTACACAGTGAAGAAGACCTGGGGGCAGAGTTAGCTTTTTTCCCCTTGGACTTCGTGGGACCTGAAGGATTGGGGTCTTTCTCCCAACTGCCCCCCTTCTTCAGAACCATCTTCTGCAGTTCCTGGTCATGAGGGTACGGGTAGTGCTGCCCAAATCTCCCTATGGCTGTTCTTTTCCCAGCCAGATTCAACGGAAAATACTCTAAGGCCTATGTCCAAGGTTGATCCTCCATCAGATTCTCTCCATTGTCCACCTCGCATGCCTTCATGGTCTCCTGCTCCCCCTGAGCTCCATCCATTTCCATTCATACCTATCCCTTGCCCTCCCTTTCTGGGTCTCACTCGCCCAGTAGAAAATATTACTCACCCCAGACCCTTGGCAATCAGCTATATGAAAAGCAGGGTAGAAAACTGGGGTCAAAGGTTAGAGTAGAGGTTAGGGCTCAGTGTTGGTAGAAGAGACTAGGAGTCAGGGCTAGGGAGAACAGACCAGGTCAGGGTTCCAGGATCCAGGCCAGGGGTAGCTTTGGCACTGAGGAGGAGGAGAGGCCTAGGATACCCATCTTGCATCTGAGCAGAGTCAGCTAGAGATGGCTTGGAAGGTCCTGACACTTATACAGCCTGATCTGAAATCAAGGGGCCTTGGTTAGGGAGAGTGGAAAAGGGAAATGGAAGTGGGAGGGAGTTGGAGCTTTGGACAGTTTTTATAGAATCATAGAATCTCATAGTTGAAAGGGACCCCAGAGGCCACCTCATTAGACCCATAGCTGAACAGGTATCCCTTCTAGACCATCCTAGACAAGTGGTTATGCAGCTTCTAATTCAATGCCTTCTATGACAGGGAACTCATTATCCAAGCAGCTCATTCCATTCAAAACAGCTAATTGTTCAGAAATTTCTCCTTATTATGGAGCTAAATCTGCCTTCCCACAGACATAGACTGTCTAGATATATACTATTAACTGGTAGAATGTAAGCTCCTTGATGGGGGACTGTCACTTTTTTTCTTTCTATTGCCAGTGACTAGTATAGTGCTTAGTATTCAGTAGGTGCTTAATAAATGTTTTTATGAACCCAACCGAATTCAGCAATTTTCACCTGCTAACAAATTTTCCCCAGTTCTGTCTACTCCTGGAAACAGCATACACCCAAGAGCCCTCCAAACACTGAGACCCTGAAAGACCCAGCTGGGAAACCAGGCCCAACGTCCATCATCACATTTGTTTTTGGCCGACCTCCTGGGGATGTGTCATTTTCCATGGCAATTTTAGCAGCTGAATTTAGAACCAAGAAGGAAGTCTGGAGTAAGAGCTGCAAGGGCCTATAGCTTCCCACAGCCTCCAGGGCCTAAACCTTACAGGCGCCTGCTGATTTCAGTTACTAGGGTTAGAGCCAGGTCTAGCGGGCAAAATTTGGGCCACGTCTTCGGCAAAAGAAAGAAAGCTGGTGACTACTTAGCAGTTCTAGCAAGAGTGGTACAGGTTTCATTAACAGGCTGAGGCCAAGTTCTGCTTGGCACCAGCACAGCCACTAGGAGGAGAAGCCAGTCAAGAGAGGGGCCAAGGGCAAAGATGAGCTGGGGACCAAGATGGCAGCACTAGCCAGGCAATAGAGAGATGAATGGATGAGGAGCCTAAGGGTGAGGAGGGGTGAGGGGGAAGGTAAGATCCAAATATCAGTGATTGGGATGCCAGCCAGATGGGAAGTTTCATGGTTGCTTGTCTCCAGTGAAAACTGAGCAAAGCCACCTGACTCCCCATCAGGCAAGAAGACCCTTTTTCCTGTGATATTAGGGACTTATTGAGGGTGAGTTTGAGAAGTCAGTCCCAGACACCTGGAGGGTGCCCCTCTGACAGGAAGTCCTAGATCATTTGGCAACATGGGGGCGGGGCTCCCCTAGGAGTCTAGGCTGGGGGATCGTAGGATGTTAGCCAAAGCTGAACTGAAAACAAAGATATGATGAGAGGTAGGTGCTCTCTGCATGGGACAGAGTAACAGAGCTAGATCCATAAGAGTCCCCAGCATGTCTAAGGAGAAGCCACTCAATCACTTGAAAGGAGCTCAAACTGGAGCAGGATGGATTTAGGCTAGATATCAGGAAAAACTTCCTGACAGTGATGGGAGGAGCCATTTGTCAGGGGGCTCAGTGTAGTGACAAGAGGGCTGAAGTGGCAGACAGGAGGCCGGTGTTCAAATTCCGGCTCCCGCACTCACTGGTTATAGGAATCTGAGCAAATATGTTCACTTCTGAGCCTCAGTTTCTTCCACCATAAAATGGTAGTAATAGAACCTCACGGGAATGCATGTTTTGAGGATAGTGCTTTATAAACCTTAAAATGCTGGAGAAATGCTAAGCCATCATCCTTCTGGGCAGTGATTTACCGAGCCTATGTGGTTTTCCAGCCCCGTGCGTACCAGAGCAAACAGGGCTAAACCAGTTCCCAGACGTGCGGGTGTTAGAAGGATGAGGCCTGGGAATGCCCACAATGAAATTGTTTCCCCTCTTGTGGTTCTGACCTCAGCCAGAGAGTGGAAATAAACGGAAAGGGGGTTTTCCATCTTTCCTGCCACCGTGAAAAGCCTGGGAACAGGTCCATGGAGATGTGGGAAGGGGTTTACCAAGAACCAGCAGGTGGGAAGTGAAGCCAGAGGCCCTCAGAGGCAGAGGGGGCCTGAGGCTTTCTAGTAAGAAGCGTAAATGTGAACTGAAGGCAGGAGGACACCAATGATGGCAAATAGGTCGTGCAAAATTACCTGACATCCAAGCATCATCCACAAACAGGCATAACGTGGCGTGCGCTGCAGAGCACAGGGGTGGTTGAATCCCACAAGTATAGCAGAGAGAGGAGGAGAGGGAAAGTGAGAGGGAGAGGGAAAGAGGAATGGGAAGACGGAGGGAGAGAGGGAGAAATGAGAGAATGAGGAAGAGAGGGAGGGTGGGAGGGAAAGTCTGCTGATGGTCTACACACAGGGGCCAGTGGTGCTGTGTGCAGCATGACAGAGACGGGAAGCTCTAGGCCTTAAAGAAAAAGATCAGACGGCAAGACAGGAGGAAAGTCACTAAGACATGAAGGAGGGTCCTGCAGGCCTGGGGGAAGGGAAGGATCAGAAAGAAAAAAAGAAAGAGGCAGCCAGAGGCAAACAGGAGAAAGAGGAAGAGGACAAAGTTCAAGCCTTATGGACCAGAATGGGGCATGGGATCGGCTTTTGAGGAGGGAATCTTTGGTGCTGTGTCAGAAAGAACTAGAAATATGTAATATATGATCACGTGTAGTCCTCCAGAGGGGACAGAAGACAGAATCTTGGGGGCGTGGGAGGTTGGAGAGGACGAAGAGCTGACAGGGATTGAGAAGAGATGGGGTAGTTCCAGTGACGCCCTGCCTGGAGCAGTGACTCCTTTGACCCCTGCCCTGGTGCTCAGAGATGCCCAGAAGCTGTCATCTTCTCCTGCCAATCATGCTCAGGGTAGTAGTTCTCAGTGATGGGGCAGCTAACAAGGAATATACTTCTGAATCCTGAACTACTCACCTCTGACATGGAAAGTGGCCTTTCTCTGAGTTCCTAGGATGGGCACTAGGGGAATTGCATACACACACACACACACACACACACACAAACACACACACACATATGTACATAAGATAAGGGAAAATGGATATATTGTATGTATATGTATATAGGTGTGTATGTATATATGTATATTGTATGTGTATGTATATATATTTTATATATATATAACGCATATGTAGATGTCCTTGATGTAGACTGGAGGAATAGTTTAGTCAATAACAAGGTCACTGGGAAGAGCTGGGTGGGGGAAATTCTAGGAAGATGAAGAAGGACCATTTTCAGTCCTATCAAGGGGCCCTGGGCCCTGTCCTACTCCTGTCTGCCAAGATGGGCTTTGTGCCTGAGGGGTCAGATCTGCCTGGGGGGGAGAACAGCTCCAGTCATTAAATTCCAGAGGCTCTGACTTCCTCTCCCCACCACCCATACACATACTTGTCAGTAGATGGGCAGACCCTACCCAGTCTGACATCGAAGGGAAGGTGGACTGATGGGGTCTTTTATCCCAACAACTAGCCTTCTATTGCTTCCAGGACTTCAGTCCCTCATCCCTGGCTTGATAAAGTATCCCGCCCAACAGGGCACCATAGCAGAGAGTCATAGCAAGCCAGGGGAAACCTTAGAGGTCACTGAATTCAACCCCCTTGTTTTGCAGATGGCTGGGAGCAGTGCTTACTAAGACCTTGGTAGCACCCACCTCCCCATGCCCGAGTCCTGCCCACCATAGCAACTCACTAGCATAGGGTGAATTTGCAGTGGAGCCGTTGAGGAAGCTGGGTGAGCTGGGTACCCCAAGGCCAGCCATACCAGTGGCCCCGTAGCCGTTGATGCTGGATGTGATGCTGCTATAGCTGCTCTGCTGGGGGGTGGAGCTGGGCACGTAGCCCCGAGGAGACACACTGCTGGTATTCCGGGAGTAACCTACCAGGGAAAACAGGTCAGGGTGGGGCCCACTGGGGGACCTGGAACACATCCAGGGCATTGATAGGCAGAGGAGGGGTGTATAGGAGATGGGGGGATAAGAGAAGGAAAGGACACACAGTGGCACAAGAGTGAGCAGTGTAGGGGACAGTATGGGGAAGAGCAGACCCACCTTGTTCGGCCCCTTGTGTGGAATCTCCAATGTTGACTGCCAGCTGGCTCCCAAAGGAGTTGATGCCCATCATGGCTGTGTGGGGATGGCCTGGGGCCAGGGAGCCAAGTTGGGAGGGGGTGCGTGGGACACTGTAGAGTGCTTCTGCAATGTCTGCTGCCCGCTTTATGATGAGATCCTAGGGAGGCAAGGGTAGGGCTGGCCCCCAACCCCTAGACCCCCACCAGCCTTTGGGAGGGATGACAAGAGGAAAGGGACACACAAGGAACCAGCAAGTTGGGAGAGGGATATATAGGAGCATAAATGATAAATTGGGAGCTGCAGAGGACCTTAGAGGTCAGCTAGACCCACCCCTTCACTTTACAGATGAGGAAACCGAGGCCCAGGGAAATAAAGTCACCTGCCCAAGGTCACAAAGGTAGCAAGTAGAAGAGCTGGGATTCGAACCCAGCCCTCTTGCCACTGTGTCAGAAAGCCTGGGGAAGGAAGGGAATGGGGCAGGTAGGGGATGAAGGAGTTGGAAGGTTCTTAAGGAAAAAGGAAGGTGGCTAGAAGTCTTAGGTGGGGTTAATACCTGGTTACTGTGTGGCATCCCATACAGAGCCTCCACCAGGTCAGCTGCCCTTTTCAATAGCACTTCCTAGGGATAGGATGGGGGAGGGAGGATCAGCTCAAGGGAGGTACAATCCCATGGGGCAAAGAGAAGAATCCCCACGTCCTTCATTCCCTAGCCCTCAGCCCCTCTTTCTACTTTTATGTCTAGTACCAAACACAACCCCCATCTAGCCCTACTCTGTCCCCTGCCCCCTTTGCAGGCCCTAAAGGTTGCTTCCGATCTGGCCCCTCTTATCCTTTACCTTAGGAAGCCGCTCAGGGTCTCCAGGATGTCGTGGTATCACCTTCTGCAGCCTCTGGAAGCCGTAGTCGATGGTTGGCTCATTGAGAGCTTGGGGGAGGTGGGGGGGAGAACAGTGTGGGGGAGAAGTATCTCTAAAGGGACAGGGAGAGATATCCCCCCCCTCCTCCCAGTCTTCAAGTGCAGCCTCCTGAACTAAGCACTCTCGGGGCAGCTCAGTACATGGAGAATATATTCACAGAGTGTGTGTATTCATACATGTACAAAGTATTCACACACAGAAATCAGTGTCGTGCTCCCCTCCTTCCAAGTATCCCAGGACATCCCCACAAGGTAGAACTGAAGGGACCAGTCAGCTTTTCCCAAAAATGCCTCTTTTACCCAACCCTGAATCTGTCAGGCAGCAGTAGAAGCCAAGCAGAATAGGTCCCTCCCCACCCTGGATACCTTCCCAGTACAGCAAGGACTGAACCTGGTTCACACTGTGAGAGAAAAGGGAGGGAGCTGGAGAGAGCAGGGACAGTTTCTTTTTTTGTAGGGGGCGGAATAACTAAATTGTCATTTACACTACAACTGAGATGAGCTTTTGGCACCAACTAAGGATTAAGAGTTTCTTTAAAGACAATTTTTGTATTGTAACTGTACAATATTTGTATTGTAACTTGGGTTGCCTCTCTAATAGACTCATCCAAGATTGTTATATATTATAGCTATCTCTATTGATGTCTTATCCCCATACTTGACTGTGGGCTCCTTGCGGGCAGGCACCATGTCTTATGTAAACTTTGTTGCTCCTCCAGCACCCAGCAGAGTGCCCATGCACACAGCAGGCACTTAATAAATATCTGTTGACTTGATTTCTTGAGAAGGAGATTGAGAATAATTAGCCCAGAGATGGGGGCTCAGAGAATGATTGATTTAGAGTAGAAGGGACCTTTGGGGCCAACAGTCCTACCCGTCACACAGGTAGTAAGCAGCAGAGATGGCTTTGAGCCCATATCCTCTGACTCCAAATTCAGTATTTTTTCCACTAAGAATGAGAAGCTGACAGTGAGAAACTGGAGAGAAAAGAGCAATAAGGAATGAGAATGAAGAAACTGTGGTGTCAGAAGTTGAAGGTAAGGATACTAAATATTGTCTAAGGTAACTGAGAGAGATAAGGACAGGTCAAGATAGGGGCTGCTGGACTTGGCCAAGAGCCTGAGCTCTTCCTTTGAGTAACCTTTAAGGTTACTTTTCTTCTACTCCGCACATACCTTGTGTGTACCTTCTGATTTCCATGGTGTCTTTCTCATTAGAATGTAAGCTTCTCAAGGGTGGAGATTGATTTGTGTGTTCTTTGCTTTTCTTGGAATCCTCAGCTGTTTAAGCTGAGTTTCTGACTGATGGGAAGCATTAAATAAATGCTTGTTCATTGATTGAATGGTGAGGGTGAAAACGAACTTTTAGGGTGACAAAGAGAGGCCTCCAGTTCAAGAAATGCAACTGTGGACAGGGCCAAGAACTGGCCTAGGCACTGCATGGGGGTTGGGATACCATGGTTTAATGCTAACTTTCTCAAAACTAGGGAGATGAAACTCACTCTTGCTTAGAGACTAAGGAATTCTGCAGTAGGAAGATGAACTTAGGATGGGCCCAAAGCATGGTAGACAGATGAACCTTTCAAAATGGAGAGACAACTCTTTCTTGGAATATTTGGGATGGAAGTGAATGAAGGCTTTTTCTGAGGAGGGGGAGGGCAGGAGAACTGAAGAGCTAAGAGTAACATTGAAAGCAATTGAAAAAGCAGAAGGGGTGAATTCCTTGGAGAAGATCACAGACTGTTATATGAGACTGAAACTGTAATTGTTCAGAGTGGTCACTGCAGGCTCTCTATGGCACACATCCCTTTCCCTTCTGACCCACCCTGCTTTACCAGGGAAAGGGGGCATGCCACCTGCCATCCCAGTCCATTACCCGTGTAGACGAAGCGGCCAGGGGCCCCTTTGCAGAACTGCTTGGACTTGTAGGACAGGGTCACCTCCACTACCCCAGGGATGTGCCTCGGTGGAGTCTGCACCCGGATGGCGTGGGGTGTGATCAGCTGTAAGAAGAGAGCGTGTCAGCTTTAGCTAGGAAGAAGAAGAGGAGCTGGAAAAAGAAGAGAGGCAAGGAGCCCCATCCCCAACTGGAGCCCACTCTGGTTTTGAGGCTCGGTGCCCCTCGGTCTTCATAGAAATAAGCATCAGTCTTGTTGACTGTCCCACTGACACACAGGGGGCCACCCTCAGTCCCAACCTGTCCTGTCTCGCCCCCAGCCCTCCTGTCCACAGCCCCACACCTCACTCCACACCAGCATGGTTCCAAAGACGACCTGGAGGCCATCGAAGAAGTTGTCTCCGATGACGATGACAGTGGCTCCCCCTGTGGTCCAGCCCTCGCTGGGGCTGATGGCCTTGATGCAGGGGGTGGCTGCTGTGGGTCAGGATGGGAACATGAGCAAAGGGGAGAGCAGGGCTGCTCCCAGTTGGAATGATATGGGAGGACGGAGGAAGGGGGAGGGTATGCGAGATGGTTGCACCTGGGCGACAAGACTGGGCCTGGAGTTGGGCTGAAGGTGCTAACTGTAGATGGTGAAACAGGGCCTAGTGACAGAAAGAAGGATGAGCGGGCCTGGAAGAGTGGAGGATCGGGCTCTCCCTGGGAGGGGAGAAGGGGGCATGGTTGGCCAAGGGAAGGGTGCCAAATGACAGAATCCTGACCTTCTGAAGGGTCAAGGCGGCGGGCACGGCGGCCATGCTTGGAGTTGTTGTGAACAAACATGTTGTCAGACACAGCAAGCACGTGCCCATCCACGCTCACCGTCGTGGAGACCACCACCTGCATAGGGGACACAGGGCCAGGCCAGGGCTGGAGGAGGGAGGCCACATTCACAGGCATGGGACCAGATGGCAGGAATACTGAGTTTAGGACGACAAGCTAAGAGGCCAGCTTAGAAGCAGACCCCAAATGTATCCCAAGGCATGCCCTCCAGCCTTCTTGCTGGCTTCTTTGAACCCTGGTATCTCAGTGAATACAAGTGTTGTCTGGGGGCAGGGAGGCCCTGTCCCCACCTCTTTCTCCCCTAGGTTTGGAATATTCCCTGGCTTCAGTCCTTCAGTCCTGTGGGCAAAGTGACCAACCAGGATGAAAGGGAAACAGGAGAGGACGTGAGGATGCCCACCCCAGCAGCCAAACCTGAACTCAGGGCTGGGACCCTCCTCCTCCTTTCCCTCTCCATAGAAACAGGGACTTCGCATTTGCTGTGGTTAAGTCTTGGACGACTCAAACGGTCTAGGTCATTGGGAAAGAGGACTTGTGTTTTAAAAACAGTATGCTGGTCCTCTGTGCAGTGGGCAGGGGCAACAGCTTCAGAAAGTGACTCTTCACTCCCCTAGGGCTCCTCAGGTGGGATCTGAAGTGAGATTCTGAGGGAGGGGTCCTGGGCCCACAAACAGGTACCAGGGCCCAGGAGGCAGGGGAGGGGAAAAGGAAGAAAGGAATGAGAAGGAAGAAACAAGACCTAGGCCCCCTGGTCTCGCTCTTTAGCTTGGCAGATCTCTCACTACCCCCCCCCCACCACCACCACCTTTGCCTCAGGGCCCAGCCTCTTCACCAGGGCTGGCCTGGAGCCCTTTGGATCTGGGATTGTGGGCAGGCCCCACCCTTTGGAAAGGTAAAGGGGGGGGCACTAACTGGGCTCCCCTCCCAAACTCTTCAGCGCCCTGGGGGGTGGGAGTTGGGGGGGAGGGTGGTACCGGGCAGCTGCTCTCTGCCTCACGCTATGTAAATTAGCTGGGTCGTTAATCATGTAAAAATGTCACAATTATCATCTCCTTAAGTGGGGCCCTAATGAGGCCTCAGCAGCCAGGGGAGAAGGAGCTGCTCCACTCCCCACTCGCACCCCCCTCCACCTCCACAGGCCACGAGCTCCCTCAGGGCTAGGGATCTTGGGAGTGGGGGGGACCTGGAGAAATGGCTGAGAGGACCCCACCCAGGGGCCCCTTTTCCTGGGGGATTTCCTGTCCATTCAGATCTTAATCCAGGGTAGACAGAGGCAGGTTCCCAGCCCCCTGAGGTCCTGGGGAAGAGGAGGAAGGGCTTAGGGAATGAGATGGAGCCTCCATCACTAAATCCTGTTAGGAAATGTAGTTCTATTAACAGGGGCGAGAGGGGAAGCGTGGGCATCTAGAGGGCCTGGGCTGCTCAGTCCCAGGGTACAGGGAGGCTGGGGACCTACAGGGTCCAGGATTGGGATCACTTAAAATTCTGGGTTCGCAAGATAACTTTGCAAGCTGTCCCCCCCACCCCAGCCCCAGAGTCACCTTTACTCTGGTCCCTTCCCACTGTTCTCTTCAGCCCCCTACCCCACCCCCCATCCTTCACTGCATCAGGTGTCATGGGTGGTGATGGGGGAGGAAAGAAGAAATGCTGGGTCAGAAACGGGAGCAGTTGGGTACCTGGAAGCGCCTCATGTCTCTAGGATTGCCTGCATTCTTCAGGCAGTTCTGGTTGCATTTAAGGAAAAACTTGAGGAAAAACCTGAAACGAGGAGGAGGTGGTTGGCTTAGGGCTGGGGCAGGGTGATGGGCTTTGAGGGATCAAAGGAAAAAGAGAACAGTGTTCACAGATCCACCTCTCCCAGAAACATATGTGCCCCAGGAAGTGAGACCTCCCTCCAGATGCAGTGGTCACATTCTCATACATTGTTTGTATACACACACACACACACACACACACACACACACACACACACACACCCAGGATACACACATAGCATCTTCCCACCCACATAGGGCGCACACCTACACACACAGAGCATATAGCCCCACACAGCACACATTATACAATATCCACACCCCCACCCAGAGCATAACTGGCATACGCCCCCCATCCCCCTCAATGTTCACACCACATAGCATACATCCCCTGTAGGGTAACCCAATGGGTATCACCCAGCACAGAGTACACTCTCCCACCACAGCCTGTATTTTCCTACAGTGTACACTCTACATTACATAATCCCCAGGGCTCACATCCCGACACATAGCACATACCTCTCTCTACCTCCTACAGTTGGTCACTAAACATGTTTTTGAGTGCCTACTATGTGCCAGGAACTGGGCTAAGTTCTGAGCGTACAAAGAAACATAAAAACAGTTCCTGCCCTCAAGGAACTCTGAGTCTAATGAGAGAGACAACATGTAAACAACTAGGTACAAAATATAGGCAGGATAAATTGGATATAATCAACAGAGGAAAGGCATTAGAATTAAGGGGGATCAGGAAAATCTTTTAGAAGGTGGGACTTGAAGAAAGTCAGGGAAGACAGGAGGCAGAAACAAGGAAGGAGACGGGGGGACACCCAGTGACTATGCCTGGAATGGAGAGATGGAGGAACAGAAAGAACGCCAGCATCCCTGGATGGCAAAGGTGGGGGTACAAGGAAAAGCGGGGCTGCAGAATGTAAGTTGTAAGGAAATTAATTAGAAAGGTCCTTGTGGTTTGTAGCCATCTTCACAGCCTAAATCCACTCCCACAGCGTGTACCCTCCATCTAGTGTTTACGGCTTTCACCACTGTCTATATAGTCTATATCTCACCCAAAGAAGACACATCCCCCTAGCATTCAGTACAGTTTTTACCAGATGGTGCATCTCCTCTCCCAGGGCAGAATGCATCCCTTAACATAACGTATAACCCTCAGCACACAATGCATACTCTTCTCAGAACGGGAAGGTATAGCCACCTCTCCCTCCACCCCCAATATATTGCTCAAATGCTCACTCCAAGCTCACCAATGGCTGATGGACAAATTCAATGGCCTGTGTACAGTCCTCATCCTCCTTGGCCTCTCAGCAATGTCCTGCACCACTGGCCACACCCTCCTTCTCCCTTGGCTCTTGGTACAGTCTCCCCTGACTCTCCTGGTTCTCCATAAAATAAGGGGGTTGGACCAGATCAGGGGGTTAATACCTAGGGTCCACTGATTCCCAAGGGATCCATCAATAGATTTCAGGGGGTCCATGAACTTGGACTAGGAAAATATTCTATCTGTATTTCATTACATTTTACTCCATTGCAATTCTGTGTATTTTATTTTATGCATTTAAGAACATAAATCTGAGCAAGGGTCCATAGGCTTTATCTGACTGCCAAAGGGGCCCATGACAGAAAAGGTTAAGAAGCTCAGATTAGATGGTCTTTTAGGTCCTGCCCAGCTCTAAGCCTGTGATCCATAAACCTCCTACCTTTTTAATGTATCTACTTCCTTATTCCACCCCTTAATTATAAATATATTAAGAAGCTTAGCCCTAAATCTTCTTTATCTCTTTTAAGACATTCTTCCTCGGGGATCTTATTGACTCCCATGGTTTCATCTACATAGGCAGCTTGGAAATCTACATCTCCAGCCCTGACCTCTCTCCAGCAGCCTGATGTATATTTCTGCTGGATGCCCTGGTACTACTTTAAAGTCAAGCTGTCAAAAACCACGCTCATCTTTTTTCCAAAACCAACTCCTCTACCCTTTGTTTGTCAATGGCATACCCATTCTCCCGGTCACCTACTTTGGGTCTGTGAACTTTTGTTTATATTTTCATAACTATATTTCAGTATAATTGGTTTCCTTTGTAATCCTATGTATTTTATTTTATGTTTTTAAAAACATTCTGAGAAGGGGTTGATAAATTTTAACAGACTGCCAAAGGGGTACATGACCCCCCCTTTTTTTTAAGAACCCCTGACCAAAGCTCAAAATATTGGTTATTACTCTTCTCACTTAGACTCCTCTAATCCCTTCCTAACTGGTTTTCCTGCCTTTATTCACCCATCCTCATCCATTTGCTATACTGCTTCCTGAAGAATCTTTCTAATAAAGAACTCTGATCATGCCGCTCCTTTATTCAAACGTTTTCTATGCTTCCCCATTGCCTGCTAGATAAAAGATATGCTCCTGTTGCATTAAAGGTCTTCCACAATCTGGTTCAAATTTACCTTTGCAGCCTTACCTTCTGCTACTCAGCTTCCCAGGTTCTACATTCCAGCCAACCTGGACTACTCTCCATCCTACTCACCATCCCAGAGCCATAACAAAAGCAAAGCAATTGAGGCACATGCCTTGGGTGCACAAAGCTGAAGGACGTGGAAAATATGAAAAATATGCATCTACTCTCTCAAGCACACTAAGCCATTAGGATGGGGTGAGGGCCCACAATTTCATGTTTTTGGCTCAGGCACAGCATCAGTTGGTTATGTTTCTGTTCCATTTTTCTCTCTCCCACTTCAATGCTTTTGTTTATGTCTTCTCCCATGTCTGGAACAGATGCCTCCCTCCTCCACAGCTCTGTCTATTGAAATCTCTTCCTTACTTTAATGCCTTATTCAAATGCCCCCTTGTCCTCTGATCCTACCCAGATAGTGAGTTCTCTCTCCTCAAAGGACTGTATCCACTCTGATGGACACACTAAATGTTTCTTGAATGAATGCATGAATGAATGAAGGAATGAGGCATTTTTGGCTCTTCCCTCTTCATTTCCCCCCACCCCTCATGTAGCCAGTCACCAAGTCTGGTGATTTAGTCCCTGAAAAATTTCTTAAATCCACTCCTTTCTATTCCCCCTGCCATAATCCTAGTTAGTGCTTTCATCAGGATGAATCTAGTCTACTGGAATAGTCTTCCAAATGGCGGCCCCTTTCCAGTCTCAAGTCATTACTCATTCAAAGACCTTCAGGGGTTGACTGTTATCTACCTAATAAGTTCTTAAGTTCCTTGGCTTATCCTCAAAGGCCCTTGACAATTTTTGTCCCCTACCTACCTTCCTACTTCTCTAGTCTTATTTCCCATTACTCCCCTGCTCCTGGATCTGGCCAAATTATTCTGCCATAAATGTGACATGCACATTCCTACCTCCACACATTTGCTCACACTGTCCCCTTAGTCCTACCCTTCCATTAAGGTTCAGTTTCAATCGGGGCAGAAGGCGGGGAAGGATGGTTCTATCCACTACACTCTTGAAACATTTCTGATCTTTGTCACTCATTGGACATCTTACATCTTGTATTTATTATTATTCATCCATTATGTCCATGTCCTGTCTTCCCAATAAAATTGCAAAACCTTCAGGGACAGAAGACCCAAGGCCAAGCACTGGGCCCATACATGGTAGGTAGGTGTCCAATCACTAGGAATGATGAGGCACCAGCGTATGCTTCTCCACCTACTGTATATCAACCCTACAGTATACAGGGGATTGGAAGTGGATCTGTGATCATAGTAGGAATTCCTGGTGAAGAACTCCCAATGGAGGTTGGAATCTTCTTGGCAACCCATAGTCTTAGACTGGGATGCTTAAAGCACCAAGAAATTGTGACTTGCCATGGGTCACACATCCACTAAGTATCAGCAGGAACATTTGAATTCGGGTCTTCTTGGTTCTGAGACCAGTTTTTTGTTCACTCTTCCAAGACAAAGAAATACACCTTACATTGAACACAATTCCATATACAATACACAATCTTCCTAAATAGTATATAGCCCAATGCTGCACCCTTTCCCTCCCACCACTCCTACCCCAGCCACAGAGTGTAAACTTCCCCAAATGGTGGATACTCTTTACATGTAGGCTTTCCTGAAACTTGTCCTTTGACCCCTTCTCAGATCTCTCTTGGTGATCTCATTCATTCCCACAGCTTCAACTGGCACCTCTGTATGAATGACTCCCAAATTCACATCACTAGTCCCAACATCTCTCCCAGGCTCCAGGCCCATGTTTCCAGCCTTTTGTTTCAAACTGCCTATTGGATGCCTTCAATTATTGTGTAACTACTATATGGACAGCAATATGTCAAGGGCTGAGAGAGATACAATGATCGAGGAAGATATGTTGTGTAGTTTCCTGAGTGCTGTCTATTAGGGGGATATGATACAACTACAAAATGTTATACAATAAGAGTATAAGCAGTATGCACCAAATACTATGTCAGAGTTTAGGGGAGACAGATATTACAGCTTGGGGGCAGGGGACAGGATGGCTTCATGAAGGACATAGCCTTTGGGCAGGGACCTAAAGGAGCAGCAGGAATTCAACAAGGAGAAACAGTAGAGATGGCATTCAAGGAACAGGGATAATTATGAGCAAACACATAGAGGCTGGAAAATGGGAGACATCATTTCACCTCTCTAGATCTCAGTTTCCTTATCTGTGAAATAAGGGAGGGGATGGACGAAATGATCCCCAAAGTCACTTTGATTTTTTGGATTATAGTCATAGGATAAATGGTCTTGTGTATGTAGCAGAGGATCATAGAGTACAGGGAGAAGAGTGTGATATGAAGCTGGAAAGATGGCGGAACGCCAGATTTTAAAGGGCCTCAAATGTGAGGATAAAGATTTCACAGACCCTCAGGAAGTGGTATGATGCCAATGAAAAGTTTTGAGCTGGGAAGGGACATGATCAGATCTGTGTATGAGGAATATTAACATGGCAGAAGGTGAAGAGTGGCTTGGAGAGAGGAGAGCAGCAGTGAGTGAGAGTTTTGAGG